TCTTCGAATTTTGACCGACAATATCCAACTAATTTTAGCAGGGAAACTAGTATTAACTATGCATCTATATACTGATGGACCCGGGCTTTCGTTTCAAAGATTTCTGACAGGAAATGTTAAGAGATACAGAGAAACGTTCCACCTTCACGATGCTTTGACCTTAATAACCAACGTCTTTGTAAAATGAGTACCATTTCATGAAAATTCAATGAATTTCTGACAGAAAAATTTAAACATTCCTGTCACTGAGTAAACAAATTATGCCCTGATTCTAAAACTGAAGTTGGCGCCAAAGTTCCTGTCAGAAATGCCTTAAAAGTAAGCGATAATAAGCCAGGACACACAACAGATTGTTCTATATATTCTATACCAGGTAATTCCCCGGTAAACCATGAAATTCCACGGCAGAAAATTATAAATTCTTACCTCAATACTGACGACTGTGATGCACAGCTGTGACGTCTGGAATGTATCTCACCGGCGCGAAAGTTTCCATACACCGCTATAGAACGTGCATCGTGATTGGTCGGTCAAACATGGAACGTGATTGGTGCGTCGGAATTTGGACGATTACATTTTGCAATTGAGGTGAAGTCAAATAGGCAATATTTTATGTTCTATTCATTTGACGATATTTCTAGAATATTTGAATTGAAATCCTTATAATAACTACAGAACATTATATATTTTGGAGATAGACTTTTCATACCTTTGTCTGTCAAGAAAGGAAAAAGGAAAGTATAAACGGTGCACCCCGGCAATCTGCTTACTTTGGGATTTTGTATGTACGCACATACTGTGTATTACGCACATATGGAAATATTAATCTATTCCAGTGTAGCGTATATTATTATTTCTCGAAAATGAATAGCTAAGATATTGGATACTAGTATTAAATGTGATGTTGTCCAAAAATGTTTTAGTTTTATGGCGTGTCTTATTTTCGCTGGTGGAGGGGGGGGGGTGGATAAGGATAAGTTTAAAAAAAAACTATTTGGAACATGGCATTTTATGGAGACTTTTTTAAGAAACAATCATCATCTCTTCAGGCTTAATCTCTTCATGGACCTCTGATGACCACGTACAGTGAACAGTTCATTTCTTATCGGTACAGTGAATCCATTCATCCGTCCACCCCCAGTTAAGAATAGTATAGTCGGTCTCCCATCTTTTTAGTCTGTCCGGTTACTTGTGTACTGTAGCACCAACATCTGCCGCCAGAGGGCGTGCTTAGGACGTGCCATCAGTAACTGCAGACCACAGAAACGACGGCAGTAAACGCACCATAGGCCAACATCCTGTAGCAAACCCACCACAGCTACAGGCAGACATAATGTAGCAAACCCACCACAGGCAGACATAATGTAGCAAACCCACAACAGACAGACATAATGTAGCAAACCCACCACAGACAGACATAATGTAGCAACCCCACCACAGACAGACATAATGTAGCAAACCCACCACAGACAGACATAATGTAGCAAACCCACCACAGGCAGACATAATGTAGCAAACCCACCACAGGCAGACATAATGTAGCAACCCCACCACAGGCAGACATAATGTAGCAAACCCACCAAAGACAGACAAAGTGGACCTTTGAGCCTTGTGGGGGGGGTTCTTCCGAACCCCGCGAACCCCCCCTGGCTACGGGCATGACCCACCACAGACAGACATCATATAGCAAACCCACATAACCTCGGTAAACAGCCGGGACCGGAATAGCGCGCCGACATCAGCGGTGGAGAGCAGAGCAAATTTGCAGACGCTTTGCGCCGCGCGTAGTGACGTTTGCGTGACGTTTGCGCAGAACAACAAACACGACAAGCGGCCGGACCGACAGTTTGGGAGTCCGGAAATAAAACTGCGACGCAAACAGAAACGCTCGTCCTTACAGTTATCACTGGGTCGTTCTTACAGTTATCACTGGCTGTTTTTGCCATCACTTTGTCGTTTTTCAGTTAACTTTGTCTTCTTTTAAGAAAGTTCATTTATTGATTATCACGAATTTTCTCTATATGCAATACAGACGCGCAGTAGACACGTCATAAAACCAATGCATTAGCGGTTCCCATGGGGCATTGCGCGCGTGTTTGTGTTTTCTCCCGGGTGTTGTTATTTACTGCGGGGCTGTTTGTAAATAAATCAGCGGCGGCGCGACAGACGTTCCGGCTCCAGGTTTGGCACAGGAGAAACTTTTACAACCAGGAGACACGGAAAGGTCGGAACGTTGACGGCAGCCCGGCGGGAACTAAGAAAAGTCCTCGGCGCGTAGCTTTTTAACTAACTACAGCTACAGTTACCTCTAACTAACGTTATAAGAGTAAATGTAACTATCTGCCATGAAGCCCGTCGGGACTTGAGTCGGCGGGAAGAGAAAAATCCTCCCCGCGTTGATGGAATAGTTTTTTTAACTAACTACAGCCACAGTTACCTCTAACTGACGTTACGACAGTAGATACTGTAGCTACAGTTAAAGCTAACTAAGGTTATAAGAGTATGTATAACTATCTGCCATGAAGCCCGTCGGGACTTGAGTTCGCGGGAAGAGAAAAATCCTCCTCTCGCTGATGGAGTAGCTATAGCTAACTAACGTGTACTGGAGCTATAGTTGTAGTTATATAGCTAACTAACGTTATAAGAGTATATATAACTATCTGCCATGAAGCCCGGCGGGACTTGAGTTCGCGGGAAGAGAAAAATCCTCCTCTCGCTGATGGAGTGCCGCCCGTGAGTGTCCCGGATGTACTCTTGGCTCACAGACGTGCTTCAGCACCGTAGAACCGCCTCATTTTCGCCAAGTTTAAACATCAGGAGAAAAGAAGCGGGAAAATGCACGATTTCTGCGCGAGCAAGGTTTCTGTGCGCTGAGAGGGTGTCGGGATGCTGGTCTGGTGGTCTGGGTAGGCTGTACCGTGAGCAGGGAAGCGGGGATAGAAAGCGCGGAACGGCAGATATAGCAGTACCTACGGTACTCCCACGGGAGGACTCTACACTGTTAATTAGAGATGTACAATAAGATATGACAGCAGATAAGCACAAACATGCATTTGTGACGTAAACAACAGCAGGGGAGATTAAAATATTAATAAGAAAACCCCGCCGAATTATGCAGAAAACATTAAGGACGCGCTGCTAATTGAAAATAAGCATTTAGTCGCCATTTTCCACTTAAGAAAAACAATCTAATTAGAGAGAAAGAAACTTCGGGGACCGACAAATGGGATTGTGATGAAATCCACAACTGCGCGATTTGCCTGGTTCGGGCGCTGTTTTCCGCGTTTCTGGCCGCGGCAGATTTGTGCACGCCTGTCCGTGGGTAGTTACGCGTCCCGGCAGTGGGTACATGTACATCCCGGCGTGGTGTACTGCAGCATTCAGCAGGTAGGAAACGTAATTTCGCGTCTGGAAAGCGGAACGTTCCACAGGCGGCGGGAAATCCGCCCTGAGAGCCGCGCCGAACCCCGGGACTTTATCTGCATTAACCACCGTCTCACGGGAGCATGCGCACTGCCACAGCGGGAGCGCAAATATGCACACAGTTCTGCAAACTTGGCGCAACGCAACTTGAACTTGTATATAGTAGAGGGGATTCATTACTCACACGCAGTCGTCCCTGAACTTGGACGTCAACTTGAACTTGTCATTTCCTACTGCTATTGGGAGAAAAGGCAGGAGAGGGGAGGAAATCATGAGAAGGAAATAATTCAGAAAATTAGGAAGAAATAAGGAAGAAACAACGGTAAAAAGGAGGAAAGAAAGAAGGAAAGGGAGAAAGAAAGAAGGAAAGAATAAGAAAGAAAGAACGAAAGAAAGACAGAACGAAAGAAAAGGAAAGAAAAAAGAAAGAAAATGATGAAAATGAATAAATGGATTAATTTGGAGGAGGGCAACTTGTAAAGGTGCGTATGCATCTGTTTGCCCTCCCTTTCACTTTGTGACAAATCCAAATAAACAAATGAATGAATGGATGAATGATTGAATGAATGAATGAATGAATGAATCATTGAATGCATATATGAATGAATTTGATTGCAATCTGCAGTTTGAAAGAAACCCGTGGCACGGATATAACACTATCCTACATTACATCCAGATCACTGAATCCAGATCTAAGTGAAAAATCTGGGAACACTTTTTTTACTTCTACATAAATCAGTTATCATTCAATTCAGAACCGGCAAAGCAAATCAGCTGACCAAAAACCAACACGTTATAACCCCCAAACCAAGACGTTATAACCAACACGTTATAATACCCCAAACCTACACGTTAAACTTATAACCAACACGTTATAACCAACACGTTATAACCAACACGTTATAAACAACACGTTATAACCAGCACGTTATAACCAGCACGTTATAACCAACACGTTATAACCAGCACGTTATAACCAACACGTTATAACCAGCACGTTATAACCAGCACGTTATAACCAACACGTTATAACCAACACGTTATAACCAACACGTTATAACCAACACGTTATAACCAGCACGTTATAACCAACACGTTATAATGCCCCAAACCAACACGTTATAACCAACACGTTATAACCAGCACGTTATATCGCCCCGCACCCAGACTATTACCCC